AAAATATTTGACCGCGAATAATTGGAGCTTGCTAATTTATGTGACAAGATAAAAATATACTAGTGTTCCTCCTCCTGCTTTCAAAAAGTTGTAATTTAGAAACGTGAGATCTATATTTTTATTTCGAAAATAGTTGTAGGCAAATATATAATAAATACGAGTTGCCATATATAATTAATTAATAAAAATATCTTTGAGGCTTGATTGATATCGTTTTTTAACAAAATTATCTGAAAATTTATGAAAATTTTATTAAAAATTAATTAAAAATCTTTGACTGCGAATTATTGGAGCTTGCTAATTTATGTGACAAGATAAAAAATATATTGGTGTTCCTCCTCCTGCTTTCAAAAAGTTGTAATTTAGAAACGTGAGATCTATATTTTTATTTCGAAAATAGTTGTAGGCAAATATATAATAAATACGAGTTGCCATATATAATTAATTAATAAAAATATCTTTGAGGCTTGATTGATATCGTTTTTTAACAAAATTATCTGAAAATTTGTGAGAGTTAATTAAAAATTAATTAAAAATATTTGACCGCGAATAGTCGGAGCTTGCTAATTTATGTGACAAGATAAAAATATACTAGTGTTCCTCCTCCTGCTTTCAAAAAGTTGTAATTTAGAAACGTGAGATCTGTAAATTTATTTCGAAAATAGTTGTAGGCAAATATATAATAAATACGAGTTGCCATATTTAATTAATTAATAAAAGTATCTTTGAGGCCTAAATGATATTGTTTTCTAATAAAATTGTTTGAAAATTTGTGAAAATTTAATTAAAAATTAGTTTTTTGTACTTTATTATCCATTTTGCTTTTACTTGCACGAAGTGCTCCAGTTCGTTCGAGGTTTCCCAATCGTTTCCAAGTGTTATACTTCCTCAAAGACACTTTCCAGCCAGTCAAACACCTGCCGGCTATAATGAAGGTGTTAGAATTTCTAGCCTGGAAGACCAAAGAAGTTAACGACTATCGAGTGCATCTGGACAGGATGTTGCAGTTGTGCAGTCAACCGCCTTTGCTGGAACAAACTTCCGAGAGTCTCGCTATCTCCGTCGTGATGGAGCATTATTTTACGTTGCTGGGTTATCTCTTGACGATTTTGCCCGACGAAGAAGATATTCTTCGGATCCACGAGGCTCTCGATTGTCTATTAATCAAACGAACGAAACCGATAAACGTCGCGGCAGTGAAACTGGATTTTCGTCGTCAATCCATGGAGAATTCTAAATTGCCGATTATCGTCACCGAATTGCTGGAGGCTGCTATGCCGAGGATATACCCGCAGATCTTGGAAATAGCTCATACACTCGCCTCGATCTCTAATCAATGTTGTGAGTAGTCGTGAATCGAGAATTTCGAGATATATTTTATGTATATTGCTTAATCTTCGGTTGTCACACCTTTTTTTTCAATCAAGTTTATCAAGTTTATTTGGAGTCAATTTGTCAAATCAATTTTTCAAAAGGCTGCCGTTTAAAAACTAACAATTTAATTGAATCGCAAAAATTCTTAAATAGAGTTCGAACATTATAGAATGTATTCTAATTGTAAAGAATTTAAAATTAAAGTGGCATTGTATTGAAAAAAATTCTTGAAAGAAAGTAAGTTTTTAAAAAATCCATTACCCAAGATAAAGAGCTGAGGTTATTTTGTCAAGTGTGAGTGACAACCGAAGGTTAAATGATTATAAAAACATTACCCTCTCAATTAGGTGATTTGCTTCGAAGGCTTCGACATTCGAACTCCGCAGCTTCGGCATTAAAATCTTCGAATTCCTTCGAAGCTTTGAAATTTCGAAAAATATATTTGTGCAAATGATAAATTTATTCAGAAAATTTACAAATATTGTAAATAAAAAGAATTAATAAATATACGAAATTATTCCTTAATAATTTGAAAGTATTATAACCTGAAATATTACAAATTAATAATTAAACTTGATACATGTGCAAATAAGGAAAGATAAAACAATCCAATTAAGAAAATTCAAATTTTTAATGTATTTTTCAAAACTTCGAAACTTCGAAGCTTCGAAACTTTGAGGGCACCTTAAGGGGATCTTCTACTTTGAAGGTCTTTTTTTGAGGAATCATGAAAACATACTATATCGAGACTTTTATATTATATTTATCAACATTGGAAGTATGTTTGATAATTTTTTCAAAATAAAATATCGACAAGAATGCGTTGTACAGAGCGATAATGGCATGTATCTAAAAAAAAGTTGTCGGATGGCGCCCATGATTGCAGTTCACCAGTTAATCTGAAACAAAAAACAAAATAGCATTTTAATCTATAAATGTGTGGCTATCTTCGGTACCAAAAACTAACGAAAATATTGAAAATTGTATATTTTGCAGAGTTTTGAAAAAAAAATTTTATTTTTCGACAATTTTTTGGACAGTATAAGTTGAAATTCAAAATATACAATTTCATGTATCTTAATAATTGATATCGAAGATAGCCATACATTCATAGATTAAAATGCTATTTTGTTTTTTGTTTCAGATTAACTGGTGAACTGCAATCATGGGCGCCATCCGACAACTTTTTTTTTAGATACATGCCATTATCGCTCTGTACAACGCATTCTTGTCGATATTTTATTTTGAAAAAATTATCAAACATACTTCCAATGTTAATAAATATGATATAAAAGTCCCGATATAGTATGTTGTCATGATTCCTAAAAAAAAATCCTAAAAAACGACGAAAAAAAAGGCCTTCAAAGTAGAAGACCCCCTTAACCTTCGAAAGGTCGAAGTTAACGTCGAAGCTTCGAATTCTTTCGAAGTGAGTAAAAAGTAACAGCCCTACTCTCAATTCAACTTATTGCCAGTTGAAATTAATTTTCCTGAAACGTTTTAAAAAGAAAAAAAAATATTTTTCAAAGATATACATATAATTCGAGTTTCTTAAGGGCGGAAAAAAAATTTCTAATGCAGTATCAGTAGATTATTATACTGAACGCTTGCAATGTAAATCAAGCGCATAATTTATTCAAATATTATTCCAACGCGCGAATGGTTGCCGGAACTTTAAAGCAAAGGTGGTTTAATACGAGAGGAGCATGCCTCTGGCATTTTTCGCTTTTTGTGCACGAGCTGCTCTCTCGTACGTTCGCGACTATAAAGGTTACAGAATGCTGCGGGCCGGCATACTGAACACGCTGCTCACCAGGATGGACCTTCCTTACGCGACGCAGTCGCGCTGCGTCAGACCGCCGGACGTGCCCCTCGAGGGAGAGGAGTATCCGTGGGATATCATGCTCTTGATAATGAATCTCTTGTGGAGCCTCATGAGATCGGCCTTATCCTCAAAAACTCCATCGGAACACTTAAAAGATCTTCCATTGCCCAAGCAATGCGCCATGTGGTATTATTTATTGACGAACACGCCTTAATTGATCGCACTGTTCAATAAAAAAAAAGGACTTTTTTCGAACACCATATCTGTAAATTTCTCAAAATTGTGACGTGATAGAGCAGATCAATTTTAGGTAGAGCAATTTTACAAGCAGATTCGGATTTAGCACCCCAAAAAACTACGGGAAATGACTAGTCTTGTTATGATGTTTTTATTTTGTTGAACAGTAGTTGTCAGTTAAAAATTTAAAGAAAAAGCGATAGAAAAACCATAGAATAAGTTTCATTTATTTTTGTTATATAAACGCACATTGTTCTTTTTTGAAATTGAGATATTATTTCTTCATTATTCGGATGTTATTTATGTATTTGTGATATTCACTCATACGGTTTAGTTCAACTTACTATTGTTTATATACAGGGTGATTTTTTTAATTTGAAACTTTCAAATATCTCGAAAAATAAGCACACTAGGAAAAAATGTTTCAGACAAAAGTTTTCGGACTTCGAGGGGGACATAAGATGATAACATTGGTTTGACCTTGAGTGGCGTCGTCAAGGTCAGGACAAGGTCACTTTGAATTTTTTAAATGGAACCCCCAATTTTTCATTATATGTTCTTATAGCACGTCTCGAGAACTTTCCAAAACGTATAAATAAAATATTTTTTTATGAAATAAATCTTGAGTTATGAAGCTTGAAAGTTGGAGTACTGTCGGCATTAGCATCATCCAAA